AAGCAGTTTTATAATTTTTTTGGAGGAAACGAGTCTTTTATTCTGTTCTTACGTACAGATATCAAGCAAAAACATCGTTAAATTGCATTCGATAGCGGTCAAAATGGATATTTTCGTTGAAATATGCTGCCTGAAACTTTTCGCAATTACTATACTTCCTTTTTACTTGGTACAAGGAAGTAATAAAGATTAGTTGCGGCATGTTGCTATAAAAAATTTCCGATTGCCCAGACATAGCAATTGCAGAAGTTGAAGGTGGATCCCGATAACACTGATCACCCCGATATCATGGTAATTAGGAACCAAGGCCCATAGAAGAAAGGGTTAGCTCACTTTTTCTTAGGTAAAAAAACGAAAGTGCGTTCTCGCCCTCCATATTTGGTTCTGACGCCGCTGAAGTTATCCATCCTCAGATTAATATAGAATTTTGCATTGATTTAAGCTGAATGTAAATTTGTAAGCGGATGTGCAAATTAATTTTTTTTCTATCACAAACATTATTAAATTTAAATTACAAATTCGTTGGTACGCACTGCTTGATTGCATTATGCACAATAAGGTAGGCAAAGGAAGCAATAATCAGCAGGACGTATCATTTCATAGCTACTGAAATGTATAGTGTATATTGATTTTATGTTATATCAAATTAAGCTAATTGTTAAATTAATATTTAATTTATTTAATGTTTAAATAGAAGTGGTGCCAGTTATTTTAAATTTTCATATTGCTTAAATTAATTGATTCTTTAATTATATGTAAAAACGTCTATGCATTCTATTATGTGTATCTAAATACGAAAGGTGAAGCGACATAAGTGAAAGTGAAAACTTAAGTTATAGAAAGAAATATGCAATAAAGTCAAATTACATTCGTATTTTCAGTAGATGAATTTATGTTTCTTCACAGCAAGGGTATTTTTTAAATTATCATATATCACATATATAGATGTTTCCACATTTAAATTTGGGAAAACTTTATTTGAGTATTTTAACTATTTTTCAAAATACAGAGCTGTTCAAGTTATTGTACTGTTTAACTTACTGTTCAAGTTACTATGCTGTTTAAGTTACTGCATATTACTGTTAGTTAATGTACAAGAATTTAACGGATCTGGATCGGATTCCTATTGTCATCGTATCTGGATTAACAATATTCAACCAGGATTACAAGTGAGCGTTTTATTTTTATAACTTTCGCTTCGAATGTATAATTCTTTAAAATATAAACCAAAGCTTCAGAAGAAAACTGCAGAAGTGATAGGACCGAAATAAGGCTCTAGGAACGTAAATAAGTTTAGATCTCAGCCAAAATAGATTACAAACATTAGGGACAAGTTGGTACAGCTTTAAATATCGGACAGAAAGTTAGGTACATAATAAATGGTCTTAATCTGAATTTCTTCTGTTTCGGCATTTAAATATTATTATACTATATATTTTGCTATTCTTATAAAATCTGGGTATTTAGTCTGATAATGCTTAAGCGAGTAACTTTATAAATAGCTGAAACGTAAATGGCGAATTCTGTAATGAAGTTAGGAAGATTTCTGTTGTTGTTGATGACCTAATGCGCACGTTTCTGATAGCAATATCAGAACAAGCCCACGAAATTCCTTGTGGCAAGGGAACGCAAGATACATCTGTTATTGTCAACAGCCTTGAGCATCTTACGGGTGACAGTGTGATTTAATTCAGTTCTGCCCTCGATTTTGATGAAGAGCACCCCGGGTGGGACAGAAGTGACATTTTTGTTTATTTAATGCCCCCACTGATCTCACATGAACTTTGCTGCTTCAGTAGTGATTTTTGATATACCCATAACAGACATTATATAAACACGCACATTACAAAATACGATATCACATCACGATGATGTTTTGTCCATGCGCTAGATATTCGTCTTCGTCATGATTTCGCCAAGACCTGGTAAATCACTAAATTTACTCGCGGATTACATTTCCTAGGAGAGAGTGGTAAGTACGCGCCCGGGGAGAACTGAAGATTAAGATTTAGAGCTCCTTCCTGCTTGCCAAGAATGGAAAAACATTTAATTCTAAAATTTCGTAACATCAATTTGGTGCCCTCTGGATGTTGCGCCAGGAGACCAATGTCCTCCCTTGCTCCCCACAGCTATGACATTGTCTACTGTCTGTAGCACTTGTCTGTTAATTAACGATATTAATTATGACCTGGTCAAGTATTTAAATATCATAAAAGCCCAGTGCCCTACCCAGTTTACTAGGACCGTTTCATGAAAATGAAATAAATAGAAACAGACCTTTTGCTGGTAACAGTCAACTAAGTTTCTTCAGAAAAATCAGAAACAGTTCTCTTATAAAGAACTTGTACCAACTGTAGACTCATTTCTAAATGTTTATCTCAAAATATCGAGCCACTTTTAAAGTAATATCAAATAATGGTCCACAATTCGTGAGCCAGATTTTTGAAGAATTGTGCGCTTCCCTTGACATAAAGCACTTTAAGATGGACCTTATAGAGTCTAATACTGCAGACTGTGTGAAAAAAAAATTATAATTAAAACAATCCGCAGTTATATAAAAAGTTACCATTCGCACTAGGACAGATATGTCAATGAACTTACCTACCTATTAAGGTCAACAAAGCACGATAAAACAGGAAAAATTCGGGCAGAATATTTTTGGGCGAGAAGTTGAGTACATGCTTGATAAACCGTTTTTTATGGAAAGGACGGAAAATAATTTAAAATGAAAGATCTTTGAGTTTAAAATTAAATATATTTATCAATCGACGAGGCAACTAGTAATTTGGATAAAGCTCAGGCTAAGTAAAAACTCTACTATGAGGGGGGGGGAAGACTAAGGAGCATGAGACATTTGTTAAGGAAAAGAGAAATACAAAAACCCTTTTTTGCCTGAGCCCCACCAATATCCGAGCGGTGAAAGACTCGCGAATACTAGTACTAGTTCCTCCTCGGTTCGAAGCTAGATGAACTGGCTGACTGCATAGTTAATTTTTGTGGTTTTCCTCAATTTATAAAATGAATACAAACCAGTTAACCTCAAAAATTCTCCTTTGAGGTATCCTTTCCTTTTAGGCTACTTTGCCATTTTGTGTTCCCCGAAAACAAAAAAGGAAAACATCTAATGCCCACCATTGCCATATAGCAATAAAAAAAATCACATTTTCTATTTCTCTGCAACCAAGAGTCTTCAGAAAACATCTTACATTGGCGAATTATATTTTCTGGTGTTTTACATTCGTACAAATATTTCAGTTCTAAGTAACAATCTTAATTTTAATCCATCTTTACATTCAAATTTTAAAGAAATTCTTTTATAGTAATTTTCACTTTTTTGTCAATCGATGGCGCTTAGCCTCATTTCTTTCTTTAGCTGAAATTTTCTCGAATTCTTTTTATGTTGTTGTCACATGAGTACATGCTTCTTCGTCATTTTCACTCCTGAACTAGTTCTTCACTAGAAACTAGTTCTTCAAATTTAAGCGACTTACACTGATTCTTGTTGTTTCCAGTATCTTCTACGTACTTTAGGTGGTTGTCTAGGAAAGACTGCAGTTTTACTACTTTTTGCAACCTAGCTCTCGCTTTTTAATAGTTACTTATTCTGCAAAAAACAGCATTTTTAGTAATCTAGGAACTATGCGATACAGAGTTGCTTATGCATTTATGCTCGGATTTCGGCAGGCAGTTCTAAAAGATACACAGTAGCAATCACTAAAATAAAACAAAATGCTAATAATATCTATGACTAGATTTAAAAGTAACATACTAACTACAAAATTATCACAAAACAAAGTTCTGAAACATTCTGAAACTATCTTCAATATCTTTCTGTAAACTAATGAAAATTCTGAACACATTTAAAGTAATGAAACGAACAATTTTTTTTTCATTAAAAAAAATTGGCATTAAATTTAGTATATTTGGATGTTTTTGCACTGATTTAAGATCCTAAAATGCCATACATCTACTTTTTTAAAAGGCTTACTGTTTACAAATATGTCTGCCAAATATCTTAAATTAAATTAACGAAACTGGCTCATGCATGTCAAATTTTTAAGTTCTATATTATAATAATAAATTAGTAAACATAACAAATGATATAAGCTATATAATACACATTTGTCATGGCTCTATTTACATGAAAGTTTATTATTTTGCAATAGAAATTGCAGTCACTCATGCAAAGCACATTGCACAATTAGTCCTGTGCAAATTAACAGAAATATAAAAAAATACATGCACAACAAAAACTATGTAATATTAATAAAATAATAACATACAGAATTAAATAGGAAGTTTTAAAATCATGCTATTATTAGCAAAAGAAAAAAAAGAGAAAAAATTCTTAAAATAATAAAAAACATACACTTTTTTGTTTAAAAAAATATTATTTAAATATTCATTCACTTACACATTCAAAGTAGTAGCAGGTGAAAACATTCAGTTCGCGAAGAGTAATTTTAATCATAAGGCGCAACAATGGCTGCCAAAAGGGTTCACTGTGTACACAGATGCCTGAAAGATTAAGATGTGCTCTTTTTTGAACTAACTAAACAGGAAAGAAAACTGAAAGCTGCCAACTATGTTACAGAAATGCAAAACCTGATTAAAGTTATTTCTAATAATTAACCGAAAGCTACGGAGTTACAAATCATGAAAATATAATAAAAAAATCAAAACAAAAAAAAGCATATGCTTCTTTATTAAAAATAATAATATCCAGCTTTTGGTTAGTGATATTTTTACTTTGCATAAGGGAAAGTGTGAAATAAGCTTTTTTTCACTTCTAGTTATATATATTGGCAAATCCCTATGATTACCCCCCCAAAAAAAAAAGAAACGAAACATCAAAGCATAGTTGGCATTTTTCATATAGCAAATGAAAAAGAAAGACATGTACAGGGAGAAAATAAAAAGCTAATAAGCAAATATAAATCGCAAAATATGGTAAGAATATTATAAATTCTAAATGCTGACAAATTAAGAATGCTACTTACCACTCCCCACCATAGAGCATCAGCATAACTGCTGAAATCAGACTTTCCTACAATACCTACATCTTCTTTTTCAGCCAAGTACATAAAATATGAGGAAAATATTAAACCTAGAAATCCTATGTACAAAGTTGTAATAAGTTCCTGCAAAAGAATTTGAAAAATAATATTAAGAAATCATATTAATGTTTAAACAGACAACTAACTGTTTAATTTTAAAAATCAACATTATTCAATCTTCAATACAGTTCACGTGGAGAAATCATATACAAACATGAAAAATAAATTAAATTAACTTGCACTACACGTTTTAACTAATGAAAAATATTTCCAGGAAATTTATTGTGAGTTAAAGCCAAATAGAAGCCATTATTATTTGCTGCTACACAGGTTTTTCAAAATTTGGGTGACATATACACATTCATTCAATATGAATATTCATCTTTTGCACGGCCCGCGCAAGAGATGAAGAACGAAATAAATGTCTGCTTTTGTAATTAACTAAAATCAATTTAAAAACGTTTTCTGGTACAAGAGATTTCTGGTATTACTAGATAAAATAATTAGAGATAAAATTAAGATAATTAAATAAACTAGATGATTATTATTTATTAAAAAGATAACAGTAGATCAATATCAAAAGCAAGGAAAAGAGCTGTTGAATATATTCATTAAAACTATAAAAGTAGATCAATATAAAAGCAAAGAAAAGAAATGTTGAATTTATATGAAATCCATAATAATTTGCAGCATGAAAGGGTAGCTTTGCAAACTCTGCATGTTCTAATAAGCTTCAATTTTGAAATAAATATATTTATATTAAGAAAAAAATATATTATTTTATAAAGGAAAAAAAAGTTAATCAAAATTACTATCAGTTATATTTTTGTTTTCTAACTTAAAAATCATCTTAAGAGATTTTCGGATTTAATCTTCAAATTATTCCAATAATATTCAGAACAATGGGGCCATTATTCTTAATTATAATCAATCATATTTGGGTTTCAAATGGTTTTTTATTAATTACATTAATGGTGTAAATATGTAAAAAATATCAGTAAAAATAGTCGTTAAAAGTACTTTATTATTGATGTTTATGTACTATATTATTAAAAAGCTTATTTTTAATTAGCTCGGTTTTGTACTGATAAGCAATAACTATTACGATATGAAAGAGTAAAAGAAATAAAATAGTTTGCTGACATTTAGGAAAATTTCATCAGATGATGTACATAAAAAAGAATGTATAATTGCTTTTAAACCGCTACGTTTATCATTCTTTTATATTTATGAAAGATATCTCCCTCTTTACTCAGGTTCACTGTATTCAAGTCGATAAGACCAATGAATGGAATGATGAACCTGGTAATTCATTCCAACCTGGTATTTCAAACTGAGTGAATGGGCTGGCTGTGTAAGCTGCAGAGAGTTATTAAAATTTTAACTAAAGAGCTCATACTTTATCTTATTAAAATATTTATCGGAGTGTAATTAAATGTTTCACTTCTTAGAAAAAGAGATAATACAAATAATTGTGAATAAAAAGGAAAAAAATTACAAAATATAAGTATCACGAAATAGTGCAGCATAATAGCATAAAGTAGCGAATAAATGTACGTGGCACAAGCTACCGCACATTATTTTTTTCTTTCACATTAGTTGATCTTCTACGAGGATCTAAGCCCAGCAATGATTTTTTTTTCAAAAACTTTTTTACATATGGTTTAGGATTAAATTTTCTTAAAAGTTTTTCCATTTAAGGATATTGTCACTAAATCTAAAATGGGTTCTGCAGTCAAAGAGCTCACTTTTTCATAGAAATATTGTTCATCAACTTTGAAGGTCGTTTAGACTTATGTACGAAATTCAGTGAGTAACATGTGTTTTTCTTTGAATAAATAAACTAGCAAACAAAAATAAGGAGCTTAGGAATTAGAGGCAAATTTAAAAAAGGATCGCATAAGCTCACTCCCTTGCATCTTACCATTGTTATGTAAGCATTTTCGTGGTTTTCTTTAAGTGTAATATAAATATGAGCCATTTTTCCCTAGAAAATTCTCCACAAAAGCATACCTTCCTTTTGTTCTTAGCCTTCATATGCTTTGCCATATTCAGTTAAAAAACACACAAACCCTCATTATTCTTAACATGATTAAGTAAACAATTTCACGTTAGATGGTAGCTTTGTCACAACCGAACCGGTTTCATTTTTTGAAATACTGAAAATCCATTAAAAATTGGTGTTAATTTCTTCCATATATTGTTGAGGAAATTTTAATAATAATCTACAGTTTGATGAAAACAAACAAATATCCAAATTATTTGCACGTCCTGTAAAGGCTTTTAAAAACTAGTTCAAACGGAAAATTCACAGTTTAAACTGCTTTTCATAAACAATTACAGTGCTAATTCAGTTGGAATTGGATCAGATTATTAGTTTGTAGCAGTGTGTTCCAAGCTTTTTCAGCCTCATGACTTACATGTGTATATTGCTCAAGGGGGGGGGAAGGAAAATCCTAGACAAAAAAATCGTGCAATAATGAAATGTTAATACACAGATATATATATATATACCTAATCAATTAAATCATCTGTTAATTATAATTTAATTCACAATTATAAGTAGATTTATGTTATTAATATTCCAGAAAAGTGCATACTAAAAGAGCACTTCAAAACATTTCGCGGTTTATATAATTTATCTCCATTTTGGTACCATGTACATCCACGAACACATTTTGATAACTACTGACTTACAGTAAAAAATAGCTCACAGTTCTCTATGTAGCTCCATTCTAGTTATTATTTTAATATAAGGATATTTGAGTATATTTAACGAGACCTAAGAACAACTTGCTGAAAAAAAAAAAAAAACTCTCCCCTTATGACCTAGCACACCCGTTTACTTTCCCCTTCGTAATCAACATGGAGGTAGGAAGTCCTTTCTTACCTCCACGGTAATTAATGTCATTCTTTCTTTCTTGACCACAACTAAGACGACACGACATCATAAACGACTTTAACAAGTGTCATCAAGAATTTATTCTTTCTAACAGACACAAATGGCGTCAATCCTCAAACAAGGGACCACGACAGTGGAGCTGATCCCTTAACCCAGGGATTAAATGCAGCTGAAGACCCGAGAGCTCGGCTTCGGCACTTCTCGTTTTTTAAATGATATCATAATTCAGGCCGGAACTCGATTATATTCAGTTATTGTTTAATTATTTCTCATTATTTTAACTCAGTTTATTACCTTTTTTTATCTTGTATTATTTAGTTTATTACTTATTTTATCACGTCATTTAATTTTAATCATTCATTATTCTATACATCTGTATTTATTTATTTTTCCTGACAGCTTTCCATAGGGTTCCGACACTTCTAATTTTATAAATTAAACTGTGCCTTAATCAAATAAATTATTTACATCTAAGTACAGTCAGCTTTCGATCAACCACATTAACGTCGGGAATGACTCCCCCCCCCCCACGATTCACTACAGTAACATCAAGCATGACCCCACAGATAATCCTAGGGCAGTCAAGAAACGCAGCAAAAAGGAATAACCCATATTATTATTAATATAAAAATGCTATTAAGTATTCATTTATATTTTCAAGCAATTTAATCTGGAGAATAAGTTCATTTGGTTGTGTAAATTAAATCAGTATTCAAAGTTCATTCTTTCTTCCTCTCTCTCTCTCGAGCGATCGCACATACCCTCTCTCGCTTCATATTTGTATCCTGTTCATTTTTCTTTAAGTTACTGTATTTTTAACGAGAGACGCGAAACAGAAGTATTAATGGTTGTTTACTTGATTTATTTTTAAGATAGAGCAACTTACTTTTAACGAATGCTTTAACAATGTTTATATATTCCAGATTATGTACAATTAAATTATATATGTTGTGATTAAAAACTCGCAAATTATGCCATCGCTATTTATTAGATGAATATGAAGCATGTGCAATACAAAAAAGAAGTCAATGCTTATGCTCATTTGAATAATAAATATTCTTAAATAACAGATCAATTTTAAAAATAAAAATAGAAAAACGGATTCAAAATTTAAAAAATTAAATATTTTCATAAAACTACAAGATATTTGAAAAAGACATAGCACCTGTCGATGAACAAATACAACTGAGCCTAATAGACGCCACGTTCCTCCTTGTCGGTCAACATGTAGCATACGCAAGATCTGAAGAAATCTAATTCCACTGAAAAAGAATACACACGCAAATATTATCATAATTCATAATGTTCTTCATCATATTCTAAACAATGTAAAATTACTTTCGAGAATAAGGGCAACTGCAGTAACTTATCTCAATTTTACGTAAGTTATACTTCACTAGCACTTTATGAAAGCATAAAATTTAGTTTATTTTAAAATTATTAACTTTGGAGGTACTTTACAGAAAATTTAAACAATGCATTTATTACGTAGATAGAATTTTGAAATTTATGCAAATGACAAAAGATGTAGACACATTTGTAGAAGCACAATTTGAAAGTCTCATTCTTTCAAGGTAGGAAAGAGTAATCATGAACCGTGAGATTAATTAAAGAAAATGCAAAAAATTATGAAGCCTTTTGATTCATAAGTTGATGATTATGTGTTCTAAATTTCTACTTATGATATTCAAGCAAAGAAACCATTCCTAATGATGCAAATTTCTGTTTGATTGAATTAGCCAGCAGCAAGAAAGATTACTTTTTCTGACAAAATATTTGGAAAGACATCTAGAAAAATGTAATAAATTCTTCTTAAAAGCTCTTTTTACTCTGCATATAATGCAGAATAAAAGATTTAGGTCAACGAAGGTACTTGACAGTTTAATCAATAGGAAGACCTCAATTACAGTGGCTAGATACAATGATGATAGTTGACAATGCAATGAGAATAGTTGACAATCTTGAAAGCAGACTGAGTATCAGTTTTCAATTCGTTGGAGAATTCGTCACAAGTTTTGAAAATTAGGACAATTTATTTAGGTTTTGTACTTATATTAAAGTGTCCTAATAAAAGAACTGAGTTATTTCCTAAAATACAGTACAAAGTCTGAAATCCGGACGTCCATTATCCGGAATGATCTAAAATCCGAACCTCAAAGCCACAAAAATTTTTTTTTTTGTTTTTTTTGTTTTTTTTGTTTTTTGGTATCATCTTTGAAAGAGACGTTCATTGCAACAGGCGCCTGGGACTGGAGTGTCCTATCCCTATCGAATTTATGTCACTTCTCGAATTTTGATCTCTTAAGGTGCGTAAAGGCATATCTTTTTGTAAGGCAGTTATAGCAATCTTTTTTTCTAAGCAATAGTCCGTGATAAGCAATCAAGTTGAAGATTTGTGCATAATTTGACTGATGGGATGACATAAGCAATTGAAAGGCAGTAACTGGAGGATCAGTTCGTAGAATCAAGAGTACAAGTTTTTTTCTTTTCTTCTCTTTTTTTTTTTTTTTTTTTCTTTTGGGTATGCTTTATGCATGCGCATTTGATTTTTCCTTCCATAATAAAACGTGTGGAGATTTTCACTTAAAAATTCCGATTCTTAATTTCACTTAGGCACTAAATAAAATACCTTGTTATAGAAAAACAATCATGTAAGCATAAATTTGTGAGATTAATAATTTAGCTCCGTAGCTGAGTATCTGCTTGGCATAAATCTCAAACGTTCCTATCCGTTTACCGCTGTTCGCAGCGCTTACCGAAAATATTCACCTATTTTATATCCATGACGCTGACCTGGCGAGTCATTATTTACTATATTTTGCTTTCATCACCGCATGTTTGTCAATACATGACTGCTTCAGTAATAAATCATTGCAGTGATGTCTAACTTTTTTTATAGTATTAGTAATTGAATAACAAGAGTATGGCAACCTTTTATGCTAACATTACGCTTGGCGATGATTATAGATTTTTAAATGCTCTAAGAAATGTTGACGAGGAAAAATTCAACAAAAATTTCTTTACCTATGCTAAAAACAGATTTTGTTAATGAAACTCATAAGCCAAAAGATTACATTTAATGCTATTTTAATTAAGAATAACTGATATGTTATTCTCCATAAACCCAGAAGCGGCGGCAGAATATGTCAGCACCGGACGGCAGAATTTAGGGAAGACGAAATTTTTGGAATTTGGGGAAGCACCGAGCGGCAAAATTAAGGGATGGGAAGTTTTTTATGATTTTAGGGGAAGCACCGGGATGCAAAGTTTAGGTGCGGTGAAAATTTAGAACTTAGAAAGGCGCTTTGTAGCAGAATTTACGACCCGTAGAAACTGCACTATGCGGTATTTAGCGCCGGCTCTAGATAAAGCGTTAAGTATATATGGGAGTTTATTTATTTAGGACTCATTAGTTTTAAGCATGTGCAAGAAATAAACGTAGGTGTAGTAAATAACTAAACTAATACAATTCAGGCTTAATTCAGTACGCAATAAGAGCAAGACAAAATTTAGCGAAACAACTTAGCTTTCATCGCCAATCTTGTGATACACAGCCAATAATGTATCTAGGACGTTATTAACCCATTAACCGCCAAACTACAAGGAATGTTTCTTTTCTCATGAAAATAATAACAAATATTAAATTAAGCATTTATAAAATAAATTTACATTGAAAATTAAAAAAAAAATTTTTAAAAAAATGCTCTTACCTGTGGAAAAATCGAGTGTTGCATTCGCGAAACGTCAGCTGAATAAGACTACGGATGTTTAGTGAGTAGGATTGTACTCGTGTGATGTTTCTTTTGAGTGGAGCGCAGGATTACGTTTTAGCTGTATAACGTTTTATAAATCTACAAATCACTTTACTTGTAATTAATTTAATATTAAAATATACATTGTGTTTCTTTTACAAATACAGATTATTTCATTTGAAAGATTCAAGCATGAAAAGCTTGATTACAATCCTGATGTAAAGCTACATTACATACTTTGCATTTATAAACAGTCTGGCTATGATACACTTTACAACAAAGAGTACCATAGCCATCAACGGACTTTACGATAAAATATCTACCATCTCCATGCAATGGTTTTTGAATGCTGAATTTACTAGGTCTTCTTGTTGCTGATGTATTTCTAACTAATTCTACAACCTCAACAGGAGAGTTTACAAAAGGAATAATGCATTCTCGCGTCTGAAATCTAAAAGAAACTTTATATTTCCAGTAGTAAAAAGTGGTGATATTTAGTTAAGTTTAGATACGGTCTCACCTCATATAGTTTATCAGTATTGTCAAATGCAAATTCTGCTTCATATTCCTGTACTGCAAACGTGAGACAGGAACAGGAATGTCCTTATCAAAAGACCAATACATTTTTTCTTGAGGTGAAGAATGATATCTTGTAAGCAATAATATTTTAAAATTTCTTCTCATATAGGTTTCAGATGCAATAAATTCTGGGCCTTTTTTTTTTTTTTTTTTTTTTTTTTTTTTTTCTGAGCGTATGTATTTTTCTGTTCAACGAGAACAGAGTAAATGTCTAAACCAAAAAGAAAATCGAAAATCTGTGCACCAGTTTTACCTAGTGTTTTGTCTTTTATAATTTCTCTTCTATCTCTTTCTTCATTTTCATGTTCTTCTTGAGACATAACTAACAATTCCTTTTTTATCCACTTCAAGATTTCAGTCTTCTGCTTTTTAAACTTTTTAGTATGACTATAACTGCTTTTAGAAGGCTGAAACTTACTTCTTACTGAATTTCAACTTCCCCAGCAGTATCATTTGGTAAAATATCATTATCATTATTTAAAACATTGCCATTCCTTTCCTCTTCGTCACGTCTGCAATTTCTGGGGGAACAACAACAATATCAGTTTCTTTCTGGTCATTATTAACATTATTTTTATCTGTTTTTTTCATCAAAAAAATCTTTGAAGGGCTTCTTCTAATGTAAGATACCTCGTTCTAGGCATTTTTAAACAACCAGAACATGAACAAGAACATCGAAAGGAATGAGTGAAAAGGAGATTGACTACCCGTTTCCTGCTGACGTTGCGTTACCGCAACACCTGTTTTCCCTTCCTTCCCAACACAAATATAAACATATGACTGATGTGTTCTGATAAACGGTGACCTTGACTAAAAATAGATCACTCATAAAGACGGCGATTCTTTCGCTAAATATTTTTCGCAAAAATACCTGGTCGAAAATTTTGCTTAAAGTATGAGATTAATTATTATAAACAAAATGATTGTTGAAGGCAATTATGTTTTTACAGAAATAATCTTCATAATATTCCCTACATAAAATCATCTGCTGGTACAAAATATCTTAGGTTTATATACGCATTTATTTTGACCGTTGCGGTTAATGGGTTAAGCTAGGCTAAATTATCTTTACTGATTCTAAGGCATTTCAGTTAATGTAGCGGACTGCGCTGCTCCCTAATCTTTCAGTTTGATCCAGCTTATTATTTTTTTTTTTTTTTTTTTTTTTTGCAGACTGTTATTATTACGGCAATTTTATAAAAACTAAGCATGAACTTTCGATTATGTCGAAAAGAGTTCCCAATTCGAGAGCTGCCAAAGGATCTACAAAGCAAAATCATGTTTCGATGTCCATGAAAGAAAAAGTGAAATTGCTGCAAAAAATGGATAAAAGCATATCCGTCTCAAAATTTGGCATTGGAAAGTCAACTGTATATGACATAAGAAAAAGAAAAGGAACTTTTTGAATTTTTTTGTGGAAGCAACTTAAACAACTTACATTAAAAGAAATGTTTAATAAAGTAAACAAATAAATATTAAGCTTTTTTTTTTTTTTTTTTTTGTAAATTTTGATACCTTTTAGATCATAATTGTTCTTTATTTCATAAATTAAGATTTCACATTTTTAATCGTAAAATTTCTGCATGCCATCTTATCAGATTTAAATTGATGATCTAATATCCGGAAAAATCCCAAATCCAGAATCGCCGAAGTCCCGACGAGTCCGGACTTTGGATATCGGACTTTGTACTGTATTAACTCTAGACACAGTATGCGTCCAATTAAAAAAAGATTCAAAAAAAAAAAAAAAAAGAAAAGAAAAAGAAAAAGAAAAAAAAAAGAAAAGAAAAGAAAAGAAAAAAAAGAAAAGAAAAAGGAAACATAATTTTATAAAAACAACTTTTACATAGTAAATAGGATGGGATATGTAAATCCCAAAATACAACTTTTCATATGGCCTTCTTTGGACCAAATTTTCAGCTAATGAAATATTCATTACACTTTAACTAGTTAAATTCATTTTTCCTAATCTACTAAACAGGATCTCAATATTAGATCATTTTGCATAAAATACATTTTCGTCTCAGTAAGGCAGCCAAATGTTTTGTATTATGCAAGACTATCCAGCTGGTTTGGTAGAAGCTGTTAATGTCTTAATAATATTGGTAAGAAAATTCGTCCTACGAACATACTTATCGTTCTGCACATCGCCAGTTCAGAAGCACAGAGGTTGGTACCCAGAGTTTATTGTTTATACGCATGAGTTAAACAAAAAATTATTTATTCTCGACTGTGATAAGCAACGCAAGGAAGTCGCAGCTTCAACAGAGACAAGTTCTCACTCTTACTTATTGTTTTATTTATTGATGCTTTTCCACTGCAGCCCACATTAAGCTAACAAACCACGCAAAATCTTGTACAAATACATAATTTTCTGATAAATTGTCTAAAATCGATCTTGCCTTTGTAATTTTGAATTTAGTATACCAAACTAAAACCATAAGCCACTTTAGTAAGCATTTTAGCGCTTCTATCAAACTAGCTGAATCTCATTACTGTCTCAAACTTATCGTTACTTATTTTTAGGAAGCTAGTATAAATTAAATCTGCATTGCAGTTATGTAACATAAATGTATTTGACCAAACATAATAATTTACATAATTATTACATATCATATGAAGGAAATAACTGAAATGCAATTAAAGTACAGAGAGAATTGTTTGCTTTATGCACCATTTATGAGTGTACTTACATGTTTAAAACATACAAATAAATGCTAGTATCTAATAAGATCATTCCATAAAAATCAAAATTAAAAATTTAGTCGCTCAGGAACTTCATGAACTTAGTAATTTGACCAGCTCAGCCGTGCTCACCACAAAGGTTGAATAGTTAAAACCGTTATAGCGGTAGTTTCATCCAGGTTCAGGTTCCTCAGCAGAACTAGTTTGCTGCATGAGATATTTTAAAGTTTACACCAGTGCTTAAATTGCACCAGTGCTTAAATTGCTTAGGCACTTCCTTTAATGAAACTGAACCATAATTTGAACAAAACATTCTTTTGCTATCGAAACATTTTGTTTTAGAAATAAATAACACATGAAAATCGATGCTTACTTTTGAATGCATGCCTCTCTTTCTCTGCAAAACAAACTCTGGATAAAAAGTTCAGATTTTTAAGCGAGAAGACAAGAAACGACCTGCACATGTCGAAACCTTGCCCTTCAGGAAGTGCAAAAATGCAAAAAATTTACAAGAAGTTGTTTGGAAATGAGTAAATGTCTTTTTTTGTTCCCGAAAATATTAATGGTGATTTCTTTGGTAGTACCGTTGTATCTGCTGACTCGATATAACAAGGACTGAACCTTCTAGACTCTTTGAGACGGTTTTACTCGGTATCGGTTGTTTCTGTAGCCCACGATTTACAACAGGAAAGAAAAGAGGAACCGTCAACCATCGTTTATATTCCTAAATGTACCCGAAGCGACAACCGGTCTAACACAGTGAAATATTAAGATAAACAGCTCAAACACATCCAGCACTAGTAATTACCCGCAGAAACCGCACATGTTGAACCGTTCAAAACGATGTAGTCAAATATAAAGGATTTGATCATTTATACATAGCCTTAGTTCGTTCTTCAGCTTATCTTACAGTAATTAGAATTTGGAAGCATTTTTCTCCCTGTCACACATTTTGCTTCACAGTTATAATTAAATCAGAAAGGCATCGTGGTTAAAAAGTGTTAGCTCTTCTACCTTTGTTTTCGTACCTCCACCATTAAAATTTTCAGCCAAATTATGATGCTGCTTCGAGCATTATCTCTATTCCCAATAGGAATGATTTAACCGATTTATCTTTTCATTGATGGGCTGAAAAAGAACAATTTTTGTTTCTACCAGCCCTCAAATAGTAGATTATATTTTGCCTTCAGAGCTTGCTCGAGCTTAGCTCTTCTGTTTCTCAGTTTTTGAATGAACTGTTATCTCAGTCGGAGCTATAGATAAGTATGATGTTCGATATTTTGTAATTAATTGTTTCGTCTTAATTTAATTTATTAAATTTTATTGGTTTATTTACATTTTATTGTAGTTGTAGAGTCATTAGGGTTTTTTTTTTCGGGGGGGGGGAGCAAGCTAGATGAAAAATTAGCAATGCCTTCACCGGGAATCGAACCACGGACCTCTGGAATACGGGCCCAGCGTGCAGAACCACTACACCACGAAGGCACCCTAGGAAAGCTGGAAAAATACCTTATATAGTTATTAATTACTTTATTCATTTACTGTTCTGTGTTTCCTGACGGCCTCCCATAGAACTACAGCACTTCTAATTTCAGAAATTAAGCCCTGATTTGCATCATATGTAATATGCATTTAAGTCAATTTTCTCTATAAAAAAACCTTTCACAATGGCTCGCTGCTAAGGCAGACATATCTTCAGTGCTTTACCATAATTAACAATTAAATCAAACCGGTTCATTCCTAAAAATTTACATAATGCATTTTACTACAACTTCAACATCTCAAGTTAATATATTACTGATTTTCAAGGTAAAAATTTTTTAATGCTTTCAATGTGAGATTAAAGATTAATTCATGAGCCCATGTACACATGGGTACACTTGTGCCAACATAGTATTTTATGAAAGGGCAACCCATATTTGGATTAAATATAACAGTTTCAGTTAAGTATATTCAATATTCTACGCAATATGTTTTTATTTACTTTGTCAAAAAGCTTTAGCTTCAATTTTGTGCATTAAAGAAAAATTTTTACAGTAGACATTGCTTAATGTGATCGCGCTTAATGTTATCATTGGGATTGTTAACGAATTGCCAAAGTCCCGCATTTCTGTATGCGAAAAAAAAATTACATCGCTTACTGTAATCAACAATTCGGTTACTAGGATCAAAATATTTTAGAATGAATTTTTTAAACTTAAATAAAGTAGGCAAATAAGTTTAAAATGCATTATAAAATTTGCCAAGTTACAGAGAAATGTCGCCATGTAAGACATTAAGTCGTCAAATAACTTGGTTTCGATTTTAATCAACCATTTAAAATAAGGCAAAAAAAGGGGAGCTTCATTTGACATAGATTTTCAATAAATCTAATAATTTTGAGGGGATTAGATGCAGGCCCCTCTTCTTCGGGAACAAAAAAAATTCTGCAGAAATTTTTTCCTAGGGGGAGGGGAATTCCTCGAAAACATCTACGTCAAACTAAGGTTGCTTTTTTTTGACCAATTTTAAATTTCACAACTTATATCGCCGAGTTCTCTTCCAGAGAGCGATGCCCTTCGATTAAGGTTACAGAACTGGTCGAATAATTTCAAGAAACGTTGTGAACCGTTCATTAATAAACTCCTGCATTAAAGAAATTATGAAAAGTTCATAAATCAACTTCCGAATTTTCCTTATGAAAATGCTGCGAAGGTGTTTATTATTATGTTTCTAGTTATATTCGTGTTAAATCCCAATGTTATTTTGAAGGATATTTTTTCTCATCATTTGATGTTATCATTCGGTTAATGTTACCAAAATAATCGTAGAGAAACGTGATCACATTAAACGCCCCCCTACTGTATACCATTCCCGATCCACTTACCGTATAGCTGACGTAGCAAAAACTTGACCATTTGATCCAACAGCCAGGACTAATATAGAGGCAACAACTACAATAAGATCTGAAAATGCAACATATAGTAATGTAACAAACATTTTTATTGCCACTGTTAATATTTCATTAAAACAAAATTATAAAGCATTAAAAAATCTTTTAACATATGCGTTACTATTACTTAGCGTTAGACTTATCAGCAATTAAAATTTTTATTTTTATCAAAGAGGGAAATCTACCATTTTGACAGACTGGCATTTCTAGTCTTAAACAACTCTAGAACAACTGAATTTTAAATTATTCTCAGTGCTTTCAAAAATTACAAAGTATGTCTGAAAGTACATCATTCTTCTTTTATGATGGGTATAAAAAAGCTTTTCGCATATTCTAATGAATAAAAGCATTCTAAAGCTTTGCTTTTCAATTATGCAAGAGTTTCCTATGAATGTTAAATAATACACAAATCAGAAGAGTTTTAGTTATTCATTTAGTATAGCTTAAGAAAGGTGATTTTTTTTTCTTATCAACTCAGTTCTACAACAGCATCATAGCTACTATAAGTAAGATAATAGTTTTGCATCTTCTTGGAGACGGGGAGGAGTAATTAAAAATACAGTAGAGACCGGCGAATCTTATAAAAAGTTATATTTCATAACTTTACTATAAATGATATTTTTTTTAATGTAAAAATGCCAAAAGACAAATATCTGCGTCATTTAAAACATTCTTGTAACTTAAGTATACCTGTATATCGCGAAAGGACTTGCAGGAACAATGTTTAAGTACTGAAAAATGGAACTTATGTTTACGTTACATAAGAGTAAAAAAAATCGTGAATTTTACCTAAATATACACAAATATTTACAACAGTCTTCAACAGCATGTTATTTTTTAAAGAAAATAAAAATTAAAAAACAAGAAAAGCTTCTTCATATAGCAACAATATATACCAACTAAAATATGTCGGTGAAATGAGACCATAATATTTCATGAAGCAAAACATATATTCTACGTTCTTACTTCAAAAATAGAAATATACTTTTATTATCACACAGACAGCCTGATAGCAAGTCAGTTACCCTTCAGTGATGCATTTATAGCAACACAAACATAGTTAAGGGCGGACTTATAATTTTGTCACGCCTAAACTAAAAATGCTATGTATCTTCTAAATTCAGCTATTTTTTCGCTCTGTTTATTTATTTCAGTTGACGAATATTAGTTATGGTAATAATAAATCACAATTAAATTTCTCATACAGTTACATGTTATAAATAATAAACTAAGTATGTATTTATGATTTATAATGTGATACTACAAAAACGCAAGAAGTCATGCGCACGCACACACCAAAAAAATTAAGAAAAACTGTAATAAAATGCCAAAAAAAAAAATAATAATAACTGTCATTAAGTACATTCAGAAAATATAGAATAGTTACACTTGGCATTTGGGTTTGGACAACAGAAAGAAATTTTGTTATATTTCTCTTAAGTATTATTTTTAATAGAAATTTACCCAAAATATAGATTTATTTCTAAGATTCCTAAAAGCAAATTTCAGTTTTAATTATCTTACTTTAGTTTTCAAAAACAAATACTTTTGATAATCCTTCTCTAGATACCAAAGTACTAACTAACTAGCGTTTTTTTTTTTTTTTTTTTTTTTTTTCATAATATGATTATTTAAATCCAACATGCACAAGGTTTACTTACCGATAATGGATATGGGTTTTCTTGCAAAACGCAGTCGGCCTAAGAAACCCATATATTTACTTCGGCAGCCAGCAGACCACAAGCGAACTAAATACTCAACTCCAAAAAACACTACTAAGACTGTTTCCTAAAATTAACGGTTTAAAAAAAGTAAAAAATTATATAAATTAAAAAACCGCATTCATTTAAAAAAATTTACCTTTAAAAAATTAGAATTAATGATTATACGGATGGAAATCAAAAAATTAGTTACAACAAAAAGTAATTATAGTTTGGCAGAATTGCGCACATAGAATAGAGTTCATGCCTATGCCTTTTAATAGGCAAGACTGAAGCATAACTTATACTATGAATCATTCTTATTATCCCAAAATCACTTCTCACAAAAATTATATTTAAAAAGAAACTGTGGATATTCTTTTATTTAACAACAGTTCAAAATACAGTTAATTCTGTAACTCGTAATTATTTATTTACATAAATATCCGTAACACCCACACACTGAATAAAATTCTCCTTAGTCTATACAGAATTTTTAAAGATTTTTCTACTGCAGCAATTATTTGATTAACAAGTTAATTCATCCCTGTGAAGGCTGAGTTAAATAAAAATTGTGCTAATCAAATATAAAAATATGTAGTATAAGATATGATAATTTATTAGACCATTTTCCCTACACAGTAACTAACTCTATTTATGGAATTCACCCAGAAATCTGACATTGTACTTCTACCAGTTCGCTTACTGCTATTAGATGAAAAACTAGTTCCCATACAGTTTTCTTTTCTTTTCTTTTTTTTTTTTTTTCCTTAATACCGTTAAAGATTATGTCGCTGGTTTCCAAAGTGTAGGTCGTGACCTACCAGTGAAATTTTGATGGATCGCGAACTTTTTGAAATTCTTCTTTCCTTACAGTATAATTATATACATTTAATTATAATTATGAAGTAATTTATTATTATCAGTTATTTATTAATATAGTTTGTTCATAAATCATTTCATTATTACATTAAGGAATTAGTATGCATGTGGGTCACGATAAACCACAACTATCTGCACGTGGGCTGCGAAGCCATAAAGATTTTGAAACACCGTTATAAGCACTAGTTGGAGTGAGGACACTCATTGCAGTCTTCCATCCATTAAAAAAAAATGCTTTATTTTAATCCAGTTCTTTTTTTTTTTTTTTTTTTTTTTTTTAAACAACGTAGGAACTAACCGAAGTAAGTTTCGGATCGAAGACTACAATCAAAACCGTATACTAACAGGAATCCTATTCTGAGTGCAGTCTTATATCCATATTAACAAAAAGAACTCCATTTCAATCACTTTTTTTTTTTTTTTTTTCTGATTTGCTGTATACCGTATTGTAGATGAAGCCATATAACTAATTTATAAATAACAGCTTGTCTAAAAATGCTTCATGTTCTAACTTCACCCATTTAAAAAACGCACCTAATTCTGATTGCGTTTCATAACTTTCATACCTTTTAAACATTTTTAATTCTTTATCTAAAACAATAACTTTTGATTTTTGGAAACAGGTAGTCTCGCTTTCACGACCTTCAATCAATGGAACTGAAGTCTAAAAATTCTATCAAATTAATTTCTATAGGCAACATTTTAAAGAATGCTGAGCTAGTCTTAAGTTTTCAAAAAAATTCCTTTGCTGTGGGACCAGTTCGAAGGAATAACATTTCGTTTGGATACCCTTAATCTTGCTTTTAACGCCGAATTCACATACTTCAGCCAATAACAAAGCAGTGAAGAATCTTTTCAAATGTAAAGTTATGATTAGTGAACTAACAGCCGATTATTGTGAAGAAATTCGGAGAAAACCACAGTTTGGGCATATAAATTATCGATATGATCCATGGGAAAATCGGGGGGGGGGATGTTGCAATGAATCAGTTGAGAATTTGAACTGTTGTAAAATCTTACATATTTCATCAATGCGGTTTCTACTTTGCATCAGAGTCAGCTTAGTAAGTAAGGACAGCAGCCTGGCTTTGTACTGCGAGTTATCAAAAAAGATTAAGTAGCGCCTGTTGTTACGTCTGATATACCCTTAACTTAAAATTACTAAAGAAACAGCCTTGTATTTGGCTTAGATATAGACAAAAAAAAAATAAATAAATAAATAAATAAATAAAAACTGGATCGATTTTGAGGGCAAACAGGTCCCTTCTCATCAGGAGCAAAGAAATTTGCAAGACTGGAAAGCAGACAAATTCCAAGTGCAGTTGTATGCTGCGATTATCGTGCACGACTTCTTCCGTTATGAAGTTTCGTTATGTTATGAAGTTCGTGCCGCTAAGGGCGCTTGAAGTAAAGTAATACATAAGTTGGGTTGTAGACAGAAAAGCAGACGGCGCAACGGTCCTATTTATACACTACTGCAGTAAAGCGAACAGGAAAGTAGCGTCATCTGTCGGCAAAAATAGCAACGAAAATTGCCTTTAACGATGACTGAGCTTGATAAAAATAAATGTTGTCTGGTGTTAAAAGATTGCGAAATCGCGTTAAGGGACGGCTGACCGTATTTTTATAATATTATAAAGAAATTTCATAAACTACATAGACGGTCTGTTAATGCGAGTAATAATTCAGTTGTAGAGAGTACCTCACTTTGCAATTCTAAGTTAATGTTGGAAGTGAGGAATCTAAGAACTGATAAGAGAATAATCGCTTGCGTTCGGTGACAAGAAACAACACGATAGAAGAGTCCCTTTATTATTCTAATAAGATTTAACAAACTCCGCCTGGGAGCGTATAAGCAACGCCCGCACTTGGACTTGAACTAAAAAGACCAAGAATTAAACCAAAACTAAGATTAACTAAAAGAAGTATAGCCGAAGCTATCAAGGTTCAATTTGAGTTGGCCCCTTAACTTATTTTACTACGAAGCTTAGCAAGGGCTGAGTACGGCCGAGCGAAAAAAAACAGCTTTGAGAGAGAGTGGCCAAAAAGGCAACGCGCGTAAATCGGAAACTCTGATTCTCTCTGACTCAGTCAGTAACTTCGCGGTTTAAATACCGCTCCTCCTCATTAAATATTCAGCAAGATTACAAAAATACGTTCTGGCCAGAAGTAGTAAGTTGAAGTTAAGAATTTGACAGGAAAGGAACTTTAACTTAAAATTTAACTGTTAATAAAATTAACATAATTCTTACACAGTGAATGTAAAAATATTATTACATTGTTGACACTGCAGCATTATGTTTGCGTTCCACAAGTAAGTTTTACTTAATTTACAGCTTTCCTTTTGCCCTATTTCACGATGAGGTTCACTCATTCCAAAATTTATGTAGATTATAGTGGCAAGTAGTTTTGCTATAAAGTTAGAAGAATAGCCCCTAGCTGTGTGTGAGAAATCACCCTATATGCGGTCAGGTTGTAAATTTAGAACCCCTTTTTTTCACGGGGGGGCTGAAAAGGAGGGGATAATCTTGCTCGTGGTCTTGAGAAAATGTGGGGGTCGTTTAAACATCTAACTTCTCTACATTCAATTTTTATACAGAGGAAAATACAAATTGAATTCTTCGAATGAATGCAATTTCGTACAATGAAAATATATTAGTGAACTATAAACTGTCAGGCAAATAACATCTTTTTTTTAAAGTAGGAGTAGGGAGACAGATATTTGTTACATCAATGAATTTGTAGTAAATATTGAATTTTTCATTTTTAATGCTATGTTACATGTATGCGAAGTAGCTGAGTATCTGAGAAAATAGTCTTAACCCAAATGGCTTTCAACCTTTTCACGTCTAAGGACTGTTTTTCAATTTCATTGTGGTCGCTGCTTTTTGGTTAATTTTCTAATGACATATAAACATTGAATTGTTTTTAATTTGAGACTTATGAATAAAATAACGCAAACTAGACTGCAGAACATTCTTCAGAATGAAGTTAATACTGAAAAATACATTTATCCTATTATCCAATTTTATCCTACAACAAATGTTTTAAAAAGTGTGGAATTAGCAGTGCACTAGGTGGAAATAAGGATGACACTGTGTTTTAGAAAAGTGGCAAATCTAGTTACAGTGACAACCTAAGTGAAAATAACTATGATTTTAGCAAAAGTGATGATGAATTTCTGGGATTCTAAGAAACGCTGATAAATTTGCTAATTTTTTAATGCAACAGTGTTTAAAGTGTTATCATTAAAATAGGTACTTAATTCTTTTCTGTCTATGTATTTTTCCCAAGTTTTAACCTGATAAATCAGTGCGCGTCTTATAGGCCAGGAAATTGAGGTATAGTATAAATCGCCCTTCATTTCGTATCAGTGCCGAATATTTCCATGAAAAAGGGTACCTTTTTAAACACGAACTTCTTAACGAAGAAAAGTCATTTTATGTACAGCATAATGTCTAAAAATACTGTCAAATTAAACAGTAATCTTCACTTTAATGCTTTTGTATGCATTTCTTGAATTGATTAATTAAATGTAAATTCGTAATTTAAAAAAATGTATAATATTTTATTTAGTTACATGCTAGTTACCTGTGTTATTGCTTCGTTTCTGATATAGACCCTCCCCCCCTCCAAGATAAAAAACGTTTTGCTCCTCGATAGCAAAAATTTCTCGATTTTCCATTACTTAATCCAGTGGAATTTCCCTAGTGTCCCCCCCCCAATAAATTTACAGCTCTGCGACAACAACTGAGTGAAAATATTTGCAGCTATCTACACATAGATTGAATGCTTATTTAAAAATAAAATATTTCCTAATTTTTATATCCCTTTTCTAGTTTATATGATATTTCAAAATTTAACGATATCAGTTAATGAAATACTCGCAAGTAATATAATCGTTCTGCGAAATATATTCTTGATTCCAAACCCTTACTGTTAGGCATCAGCCCATCGCTCTTAGAATACATTATTTAGTTCAAAGGGGCAATTCGCCCAGAAGGATTATTAATTTCATTTTGGCATTTTGCGTTGAAAACTATAAATCGAATCACTTTTCAAATTGTTGCCACCAAATATTATCGCCCTGTATTATATTTAAAGAAATTAAATAATGAAGAGTCTGCATGAATGTATGTATGTTTTGATAAAACGACGGTACCTAGAGCCATCAAAATTTGAATAACGTAATCTTCCATAGAATATCGGCTGTGGAAGCCCTAATTTAAATTTAAAATTTGTTTTATTATCGATTTCATATTTTATAACACTTCAAAGAATTTCTGATTAACAAACTCAGCGATTTCAAAGCGAGCAATGCCAACATTGTACGAAAAAAAAAAAAAACATTTTATCTCCAGCGCGCGATATATATTCCTGATACATTGAGACCTAAGAACACTTTTCTTTTAAAATATATCTCCCCTTATGATCCCTGACACAACCGTTTACTTTCCCATTCCGTAATTAACGTCAGTCTTCTGCTCTTGACCGCATTTGCAAAGCCACCGTGTGTGAAACTTTTTGGAGTTAACGTTGCCTGCTTGCAGCGGGAATTCTCTCCTGGCAATTAATCGTTGTCTCACGTCAGACTCAAAGTCGCAAGACATATTTGGTACGGTAAGCTTACAACTGAGTCACTGTTAGCGATAAAGGCATTTAAAGAAAAAATTTTCTTTATATACCAACAATTTAACCATTAAAACAAAATATAAATGGAAAAGTTGTCCAAGATACAAGACAGAAATTGTTCCTCTCCACACACACATACACAAAAAGCATTATGCCATAGAAGTCAAAAGTTAATGAATACAAGTCCACAGCTCCTATGGTAGAAGAGTTATAATGCTGAAATATATCAATCCTCAAAATATGACCCTTTCAGTATACACTTGTGTTAAAACTCGCAAAAGTCTTTGATGTCTTTCAGTTCATTCACTGTTGCGTTTCTCAGTTTTCCGATTGAAAAATGACTATCTTTAAGTCGACTTGCCAGTTCAGTTACACAAAAACAAGGGAGTTTCTATTCTGGCTAGAAATTCGGGAACTAGAAGCAACCTGTGAGCAGAATTATTAATCAGTAATAGTACAGAAAAAGAGGAAAAAAAATAAGTTTCCTCTAAAGACTGAAATTAATTTAAGGCAATGCACACTTCTTTAGAGATAATAAAAAACCACAATCCAGATGTAAACTTAGTCTGGCATAACGGCCCTTTGAAATATCGGGACCCTTCGCTATATGCAACGTGCCGTGCGACCTTATAAATTTGCTTCTGCATACTGTAAAATACCTTTCACTGCTAAAAAATACATGAGAGGCACATCACATTTAATAAAATGCAAAATATTCCCATTGTTTAGTATTTATTTAAAATGAAAAAGCAAGCTGTAGTTCAAGGGGGGAAAATAGCATATCTTGCTTCTTGAATAGAATTAGAAGAATAATGTATTCCTCAAGATGGGGCAGTATGCATCTCAAATTCATTTACACTTTCCATTTCAAATCAATGCTTAAAATGAAGTTATTAAGATAATTTTTGTAGTTTTGTTTGAAATCAATGGCAGAAACAGAATTACTATGACTATTGTATACTGCTATTAAGACCTTCCATTGTTATTAAGAAACCAATTCCATTTATATAACAGCCCCTATCAAAAGGGGAAGAAAGGCAGAGGGATAGATAACATATTTCATATTAGTACAACTTCAATTAAATATATTTCATTTTATTGGAAAATTCTTTAGTATTCATGTTTCAAAATAAAATTTACCAATTAATTTCATTTTTAATCACGATTATTTACATTTCATATAACGTACCTTATGTAGAGTGGGACAAATAAAAGTGGCCCCGAGAACAGAGTTCCAGATTAAAAAGAAATACAGCAAAGGAAAGTGAATAATCGTGGCCCGGACGAGTGGATACGATTGGACGTAAATGTATGCATATAACCACACTACGTGACGCGCACTCGACGTGTACGCACACTACGTTATCCAAACCAGTTCAGCGCATAGTACAGGCTGTGTCAGTGTGAGTTGAGCAGTGCGAAGGTGAAGCTGGTACTGACAGTGCAGCAGAGGGTTTCCGTTGTAGAAAGTTACGTTACAAAAATGTCGTGGAAACAGTGTGGTCAGCTGTTTGCTCATAAGTTTAATGGTGTCAAAGTGCAAGCAAAGAGCCATGCAGCGATTAGTCAGAAAATGGCGTCAGACAGGATCTGTTTGGAACAAATCAGAAAACATTCCCAAACATGTCCGAACACTAGAAAATGTGGCTGCAGTTCAGCAGAAAATGATTCAGAGTTTTACCAAATCAACCCGACGCCTGTCGCAAGAGATCGACATATCACGTTGATCATGCGGACGAATACTCCACCTGGACCTGAAAATGCATCCCTACAGAGTTCTGTTGTTTAAATGCATTAAAACCAGCGAATGCTTTTTAGCGCCTCCAGTTTTGTGATTGGCTGTTCACTGAGATGTCAATGAATGGTTTGGACGTGGATCTTTTCTTTATTTCTGATTAACACATTGAGCGCGGCGACGAATTTGCTGTCCTTTCCGTTTAGCCGGCAGCGAGCTAAGCCGTACTTTTGTTTAGAATGTTTCAATACATTTCCTTAAAACTAAATTTGATCACATTTCATTGAGACTATATTTATTTTTTAACTTTAATACTGTCGGTCCCGCGGACCGACGCCAGCCAAACGAAAATTCCAGTGCTGGTCCCCAGGGACGGACGCCGGCCACACGGAAAGTTCACTGTCGGTTCCAGGGGACCGGCGCCGCGCTCAACGTGTTAAGCCTGATTTCAGCTGAGTGGTTATGTCAACTCACAGCGGAGAATACGCATACTTTCCACCAAACAACCATTGCATGATCAGGGTCTGGTGTGCAGTGTCTGCACGCCGCGTTATTGGTTCCATCTTCTTTCATCAGACGCTGAATTCGGAGCTTTACTTTTCCGCCATTTTTCATCCATTTGTGACAACATTAACTGAGGAGGAAAAAACTAAAACTTACTTCTAACAGGACGAAGTAACTGCCCATAAGCCGGCAGCACCCTGGAACACATTTACACAATCTTCACGCCTGACAGATTTGTTAGCAGAGGTTAGTCTGGTCTCCGCCCTAGCTAGCTCCCCCGGTCAGCTGATCTCTCAGTGTGCGATTACTTTTTGTGGGCAACCCTCAAGTCTAATGTGCATCGCAACAAACCTCATAGTCTTCAAGAACTGCAGCAGACCATTTCGGATGAGATTGCAGCAATTTCTGCAGTCTAGCTTCGATCTGCCTTCAATAACTTGCTGACCAGGGTCCAAAAATGTCAAGAGATGAATGGTGGTCAATTTCAATATCTACTGTAGTTAGATTAGCACTATATTTCCTTTCTTTTGCTGTGTTTCTTTGTAATCTAGAACTCTGTTCTCCGGGCCACTTTTGTTTGACCCACCCTGTATATTATTCATTCCAAATTTATAGCTATAATATATTATCCTCATTTCAAAACAATCCTGTTGTACCCATGCATTATTTTCACACAGAAACTATACCCTTTAGCATAGATTCAGTTATATACAGTAGTTTTTATTAACTGCATAACCATGTATTGATTTATAGCCATATGGACGAGGTACGACTGTATTTCTTTATATAAACACGCATATATATATATAAATACTCCTAATGCAAAATCTTTGAAATTTTATTAAATATACATACCATCCAAAACAATGTTTCTATAGCAAAATCAGTATACTGGTCAATAGTAGATAGCACACTGAATATAAGACAAACGAGGACAATTAAAAACCTGGAAAAGAGTAAATTATGTAACTCATATGCACTTCAAAATACTAAATTTTGCTTCAATGTGAATTTGCTATTCTTTAAAATATTGATTTATTGATTTAATATGTCTAATTATGCAGAATCATTAGGCTTGTCGAAGCAAGAAACGTGAAAAATGTGAATGCCTTCGCCGGGATTCAAATTCCAGACTTTCTAATTGCTAGCAGAAGTGCTTCTAATCACACGACGAAGACACACTGTATTGCAGGGAGAAAATACTTCACATCCTTCTCCATTTGAAGAGCGACTGGGCAGACGGAGACCCAAGTCGCCAAATCTTGGTGGTGACGAATTACCATACGCCACATTTAACTTCGGACGCCACTCTAGACCGTTTAGATATTTGTTACAGCCAGGAAATACAACGAGCCAAGGATACCCTCGCAGGGATTCGAACTCTGGATCTCTCGACTGTTAGCCGGACACGTTTCCAATTACAACTCGAAGACACACAGTAAGGAGGGAGAAAATATCTTACAAATACTTTGGAAAATTTTTCTTTCTGGAAAGAATGATTAAGCTTCAAATTAAATTTAAAATAAATTAAAACAGCAGGAAAGTTAAAAGAACAATAACAAACAAATAAAACAATTATTTTTCTTTCCCAATATATATATTTCACTTTTTTCAGAAAAACTAGACAAGACTAATAGTTATACATATATAAAAATTAAACTTTCTAAACTTCTTTTAATTAAGATTATATTTCTTAATAACTCATTATTTTATAAAACATCTTGACCAGAAAGTATACCTACATATACATCAGAGTTCTACCACTTTATAGCTATATAGGTAATAAAAGACATCGGTGAATTGAAATTCACAGAAATCTTATGCGAAATGAGCAGCGATAATACAAGTGCAGGTAGTTGAACAACAGAAGTAATTTTGTGGGCTATAGCGTGGCGATAACGTGGTAAATTATGATATATTCCCATACCGCATTACCCAGTTATCATAATATAGTAAATTCTGAAAAAAGCCTCACCATGTGCAAAGAAGAATTACACAAAAGATAGCAATTCTTCCCATCACCCCCCAAAAAGAGATACACATTTTCTGCATCAGGTTGGTGATTTTCAGCATCATGGAAAAAGTCAATGTTTCATTCAAACAGAGCATATTCAAGTCTAATCAATCCTTTCTTAAGTTTATTTCTAACATGACTGTAACTTTTCAGTGGCAGACTCAAGTAATATTTGTTATATTCGACTTTCATACGAGGCAGTAGCATTTACAGGAAATTGGATGGGACCAAAAATTTTAAAAGGTTCGTTATAAGACAACATCGCTGTAGCGGGTTTTGACTTATAATAAAAAAACAGAAATTACTTATTAACAAGTATTAGAAAAATCTATAAACAGTACACAAAGCTGAAAGATTAAGTTTTTCGGATGGAAAAATGACAACTTTCTGGCAAAGCAATTTTTGATGGACGGGGAAAATTGGTCGAATTGGAGGAAAAACGTTTAGGAAAATGGGATAAAAGGAAAAAATACAGGCCTAGTAAAACAGTTATAATAAACAATTTTGGGGATATATACACTGAAGCCTCCAGAAGGCAATTATCTGGGGTTCCAGATAATTTTGTTGTTCTGTGCTGTAATCGCAGTACAGAACATACGAAATAGTCAAATGAATTTCAATTGCAAGAAAGGCTTATCTGAGTTTGAGCAGAGCTTTATGCGCTCGCTAACTTTTATTTAAATATGGTCAATAGATAGGCTGTCAAATAATATTTTTATACGTTATCGTTCTCATGATATCCCTACACTACAAGTACAGTTTAAAAATTAATAAGATTTAATTATGCATAACAGTTTTACTTTTCTTTTAACCAGTCTCATCAGTTAGCTCAGAGGGCTTCAAAATGTTCAGTTTCACGATTATGATACGCATTTGCGACTAATTTGTATTCGCAACGATAAAAAAGTTTGCCATACCTGGTCTGATTGTTTTTAATGTTTTATGTAATTTCAGTTTTTTTAACCCACAGCTTTATGGAGCTAATTTTTTTCCTCTTTCTTCGCGCATTTCGAAGCGGGTTTTCATAAAATTTCTTTAGAAGCCATCGTATCTTTTATAATTATGTTTTCATTTCGAAAGGAACATAATTACAATTTTTAAAACATGTACTTTTACTTCACAATGAGACATATTAAAATTAGTCAGAATGGCTGGTCCTGGTTTAGGGCATTTCCTACTTGATTTTTAGGTGCACATGAAAGAGAATGTTTTATTTTCAACACTTTATCTCCCGCTTTAAGATTAACCTCGCACTGTTTTTTGTTATAGTATAATTTCTGCTTTCTTCTTGCAGTATCCGAATCCCGGATAGCTTCGTCGACTAACTTCTAAATACCTGCCATTTTAAATTCTGGAGCCCTCTTTTGAATGAAAAATAGTTTATTCACAATTTTCTTCCAAGGAAAAATTTTGCTGACGTCTTCCCGGTAGCATCGCCGTCCTCAAAGCAAATGCTAACTCACTGACACAGCCATCCCAGCGCTTATGATCCAGCGCTAACTCTCTGCTATGCTTGACTTCAGACGATAAGGTACCGTTTTTAAATGCGGAATTCTAAGCTCTGCGCAAAGTCCTTCAAATATTTGACTAACAAACTGTTTGTCATTATCTGAAATTACTTTTAATTAAACTCCATATTTTAGAATATATTTACTCAGAAAAGAATCTGACAGAATTTTAGCGGAGGCTCTTTTGAGGGAAGTTATTTCTCTACTCATTTGAAAAATGATCCGTGATAACGAGTAATGAGGAAAATTATTTCAGCCCACTTTGAAAAAATGCTCCACGATAATAAGTAAATACCAATTCTTATTAACCTCACTACGAGGGTATGACCCTAATAAATCAATTACTATTCATTCATTGGGGTAAGCGGCTTTTATGTTATTTAGAGATCCGTCCGGGCTGTAAACATCGTTAACTAATTGGCAAATATGGCAAGACTCGACATAATCGGTAATTTCTGTAGCTGTAGAAAATAAACAGCTTCGAGAACTCGCTCCACCGTTTTTCTTATGCCAAGATGGACTGGAATTGGCGAATCATGCAATTTGTGCAAAAATACTCAAACTGGCTTGGATAACCGGTCTTAATTTATTATTTTCATTTGTTGCTTTAACATAAAACAGGAAATTACAACAATTAACAATAAACAAGTGATTAAATAAATTATCAATAATCTCATAATTTTCGGATCTGTTTCTGAAAGCCATTATATCCTGGTGTTCGATATGAACAGGATCTTTTAAAATGAGCAGAAATATTTTTAAATTCCGGATCTGTTTTGTCTGGAATGACTGTTTCGCAAGAAACTAAAATTTTTGCAGTTAATATAGAACATTTCAGTTCGTTCCTCTAATAGTCTAATTTTATTATAGACAAAGCATCGGCAACGGCGTTCTCTTTTCCTAGAGCGTGCTAAATTATTCAATTATAATCTTGAAGTTTAAAGGCCTATCTAATAAATCTTGGTGATAAATGTTTCCCGGAATACAAAAGAATCACGTCGGCATGATTGAGTAAATTGCAACCGGTGTCTTCGAATTTCTGAACCGCTATAAGAACTGCTAACGTATCCCCTTCTGTAGCCGTATAATTCCTCTGAATTAGATTAAGAGTCTTACTGAAATAAGTTACAGGCTGTTACTTTTGCGTAAGCACCGCGCCAATCGCGTAATCTGAAGCTTCTGCGGAAATTTTTAGGTTCTTGTCACCATTAGGAAATTTCAAAACTCGAACTCGAATTAATGCTGATTTAAGTTATGTTTTACTTTCTGTTCGTTATCTATTTCAAGTTTTTCTAACGCTCTCTTAGCTTAGGCCGACCAAGTACATCTGGCTTAATTTCTTTTTAATTTTAACAGCGGTTCTGCTGTCTGTGCTAAGTGTTTGATAAAAGTCCTGTATTACGAAAATGATTTTTTTGCTGTATTTCGTGGCGGATATTTTTTATTGCAAGTATTTTGGAATCTTCTGTTTCAGTTCCTTTCTGAGATACCTTATAGCCAAAGTAACGAAGTTCCTCGGCCGCAAATTTACATTTTAATGCAGTTATTTTTAATCTTGCTTCGTTTACAAGCGAAAACACTTCGTGCGAATCCTGAATATGTTCGTCTATAGTGTCGCTAGTTGAAATTACATCATCTAGGTAAATAAAAGTAGTCTTCTCGAGGACAGTCTTAATTTAATATTCATGACTCTCTGAAACGTGAGAGAGTTCCGCATAAGGTAAACGGCATTCTCAAAACGGAGTAAACGCCTGACTTTGTAATAAAGGCAGTTTTCAGCACATCCTCTGGTTTCACACATATTTGAAAATATCCAGAGGTAAGACCTAGCGTCATCATGTAATTTGTGGACTTGAACTTTCTAATTATTCCCTCGATTATAGGTAAACGCATATTTAGTAATGCTATTTAATTTTCGGTAATCCATTGCAAAACGCCATGACTTATGGTCTGTTCGTGGGACATTATTCTCTTTACGGCATAGTACTACCGGATTAGCGCAAGGATTGTCTATGGGAATTATGATCATATTTTGCAGCATTTCCTTCTTATTTTTCTTAGTAATTTCTTCCTTCATTCTGTCATTTCGGTAGGACTTTGCTTTACCACAGGCATTTCCTGTGTTTATGCTGTGGTTTAAAATTTGCGTTAGACCAGGAAGTATCGTCAAATAATTTAGCTAAACAACTTACCAGCTGTTCCAGCTTGTGTTTCTGTTCAGCCTTCAGATGTTTCAGCTCAATGGTCGAAGGGTGTTTTTCTTTTTCCACTACTTCATTCACAGCCAGCTGTGCCGTGGTTTGAAAAAATTAATTTTAGCCCCCGCCGCCTTTAAAAATAACCCATCCGTAAAACTATTGGAGCTTGCAGATTTTTCCTAACAAAGAAAACTATCTTCTGCTGCTAATTTCTTACTTGAACGTGCGATGTGAGTTTTCGTACACATGTATACTGTTTGCCTTGGGTGGCAAAAACTTTTGCTCCTTCAGCCTAAAACATTCTACACCGTTTAAAATTCTCCCCCAAGAAACTGCTTTCAGCCTCTGTACCCAACTATGCATCCGTTGGAATATTATTTAATAATATTTGGATTACAGGCAGAGCAAACCTTTTTTATGACTACCGTATTTAATTGAATTCTAGACGGATTTTCTTGCTTACGGAGTAACTGTATCCTTTTACTTTCAGTATCTCTTATTAGTTTAAATTCTTATTGCCTTCTTTCCCCTGTTTTCTCTTTTATGAGTTTTCCTGGTAGTGGCCACTATAGCTTAAAAATTTCTTTCTAATTTCAAAATTTATATTACCGTCAAACCGTGGCCTTCCTTGTGCTAGAGACCTATAAAACTATCCGTGCGATCTCTGACCACATCCTGATGTACGCGTCCGTTCGAAACCCTCCTACTTTCAAACTTCACTGCGAACTCAAACTCTCAGGCGTGATGAGGTTTCTCAATTCAAAAAAATTCTGGATTTGCGGCAATAACCTAGGCAGTATAATTTGCATAACTTCCACATCAGGATTTTCCCATAAATTTACCAATTGCATTTTTCTCAATATAAACTCCATCAGTTCTTCGACCTTAATTTGATATCGGCTAAAAGATTCAGCTTTCAATTTCACCGCGGAGAAAGCTTATACCAGGGCGGTTTTAAGTACTTCGAGTTACTAATTCTAACTGCCTGGTTCTAATATTAAAAAATTACCATTGCATTTGTGCCAGTTCAGTGCCTGTCCTCCAAAAGCGGTGGTTGCTATGATGACCCTTTGTATTTCCCCATCTGGTCCAAAAATTTGATTACGGAACTTCTGCCGTCAAAGGTCACTGCGAGTTTAATCGACGCTCTGATCGTATCCTAATCCCTCCATAGGACTCACTAGTGCCGGTGGAACCTGCGATGTTAAAGGGGCCACCCTAAACGTTGAATTTTCTTGAGGCATGGTCCTTACTTTTGTTCGGACACCACTATAATTTTATAAAGTTTGCTATATTTTGCAGTCATCAAACTAGTGATGAAACTCTTAGTAGATGTTGAGCGAATTATCGCGAAGTCTAAAATAACAACTGAATTTTGAAAAGAGTGTGAAAGACCCTTTACTTTAAAACTAAGAAGAACAAAAGGCACACCCGGTGTTTACAATCTCAGCAAGCACTTATAGCGAAATAACTCTAAGTTCAAACGCAAATTTTAATTTAAATAAGCTAGTAGCAAAGGCTATACAGATCAATTTAACGTGAAGTTGACACATTCATCTAACTAGCGTGGAGCTTCAATGTCGGTGATTATAATGCAAGGTCGAAGAATACAGATCTTATCTGATCTAGCAAACTAATAACGTGGCCTTGAGAAGCAGAACACTCTCTGTCTAACAAACTAAAAACCTCACTACAAAACCTGCGAACTAAATTTGCATTCTGGCCAGAAACCGGAAGGGAGAAGTGTCAATAAAGAGCCAAAACATAAAATAGCTGGTTGATTAACATAAAAGAACCTTACAAGTTTTCTGTCTTTTCACACATTTACTACGCAGAAAATGACTTACATGAAGGCAATTGGCATTTTTTCATAAAAAATTTATATTCAGATAAATAAGCTAATATTTTTTCTTCATGATAGATATGTATTCGCAAGAATCCTAGAATTTAAAAAATTTTATAAGACACGTACCTCTCTGTGATCCCCCACACATAAACATGCATACATTCACACACATAATAAAAAAGAAGAAAAATAATAACAAGTAAAATATTTCTGTACTATCATTTTAAAATGTTCTACATACTTTTTTCATAAGGAAAAGGATGCAACCTAACATTAAACAAATTTAACATTATTTAACAGATTTAATATACGTCAAATATGCAGAAAGTAACAGCTTACACAGTAAAATGATAAACAAAGCACTTCCATCCAGTGGGTCTTTCCAAAAAATTGTACACTTTTCCCTGGAACGTCATCTTTACACTTTTTTTTCCTTCTCGAAAAACGTAACATGTTTTCCATAATGATCTAGAAGAGGTAAGGATACAAATTTTCAATAAAACCGTTTTCCTCCATAGAGATGTATAACATAGTATAACGTTAGAAACATCTTTTATCTGTGAGAGTAATGTTGCAAATGTTCATAAAAGTTAACACTTGGATGTATCAAAACCGTGCGACGACAAAGGCTATACAGGTGGCGTAGACACTGTCGTCTCTGATCACGTGACACCCGGAAGTGACGTCACTATTTTGGACTTTTCCGGAAGTGAATGACATCCTACACGATCGTTTTATTTTTTGCGGCAACCAAAATATCTTTTCAAAGTTTTATTTTTGTAGCAACCATGATTTTCTTCGTTTTTGTGGCACTGACTTTCTGAACCGCGTGTTTGGAATTACATGATTTTTCATTAATTTTCCTTTACTATGTTTAATTATTTAATATGCACTTATTTTTAATTACTTTTATTACCAGTGACTACTTTTATTTAATCTGTAATTCTTTTAAATTGATGATTTAAATTAACCTTTTCCATGACTTTTAAAAAGCTGGTATTCGAACTCGCAACCACTCGCATGGGACACGCGCGAGCCACACATTCAGAAACGTCACTTTTGACCTTACCCAGCAGAAAAAACAAACATGATGTACAAGGACTGCGCATGCGCAAGTCTGTTTACGGCGCACGAGCACAATCTTAAAATTACATTTGTAATATAGGTTGAAATAGGAGGGATATTATTAGCGAGATCAATCCCAAACTCTCTAATAGTATCCCTCCTATTTCAACCGATCAGCGTGTTTGTTTCTTAAAGGAGCACAGACGTATTCTGGCTTCCTAAATTATTACTTTAAATTTATTCTTTGCTGTTTTAAACATAAGGTTTTAAATTTATTTTTTTTTATTTGTTATTCACTTTTTACAAGGATATTTTTTATTGCTTACTTTTTCTATTAATTCTTAATTAAATTAAATTTTTTCATCCCATGTTCCACAAAAAAAGTTTTCACTTTTCTCTTTTTTTTATTTTGCAAAAGTAATATTTATTTTCGCAGGTTTAATTTTTCGTTTTCCTATTTTACATTTACTTAAAGTTGTTTTTACAATTTTTATTTTACAACAGTAATATCTATTTCCATAAGTTTAATTTTTCACTTTTCTGTTTTCATAGATGCAATTTTGGTTTTTATTTTTTTCTTTCTGTATTTTACTCCGAGAGGAAATTTTAATTTTTTATTTTTACTTTTTCTTTTTTACAAATGTAAATTTTTTTACCATAATTTTAATTTATTTTAAATATTACACTTAACTTCCATTTCTCCGAAAGCAAACTTAAAATATTTCTCTGTCTACGAAATTCAAACTGGAATTTACATGCGTATCATTTCCTGCTGGAGGCCTTGATGGATAATATTTTCTGTAACTTCGAAATTGACTGAAACGTTAGACTTAGTATAGTAGAATTCTAAAGCAAGATAAAAGCATCCAGAAAAATTGCTCTCAACAAGTATCTCAAAAGTTTCAATTGGGGAAACAGTAGAGAAAGATAAAATTGAGTATATGAACAAACAGGTGACTGATTGTTCTTCTCTTGGCGCTGCGTTTTGGCCCAGAAAGTTAATTGATAACCTATATGGCAGCCTTAAACGAGGAAGAATGCACGCAACTCCTTAAAATCAAGTGAAAATCGGGAAGTAACATTAAATTTGGAACGAAACATGTAATTTTAATGACTAATAGAAAGAAGGGTTATTTATGTTATAATATTTTGTATTCCTTATTAAGAAATCAGACTTCATTTGACAGAAAGAAAACACCAATCAGTATCTCTTATACTTTAATTTAAACGTAAAATATAAAAAGCCTTTCAAAGCTAATAAATAGTAAACAGAGCTGCAACGCAGAACGTTACTTGTAAAACATAACTGGGGAAATGCATAATGTTTTAGATGTCGTGAATTAAAATTACGTGATTCCTTCAAAGGAACAATGATATACTATATAATATTTTGAATGCTGCCTTTAAGTCAATTACAAAACTCTTAGTAGAATTGGAAATTCTGCATAAGAGCCAAGATCAAATGCAATTTGAATTAGAGTTTCAGGAGATTGATAGCATATTTCCTTTGCTAGAACTCCATCTTTATGAAGAATTGCTATATAATCAATTTTGAATAATTATCGTCAAGATTTTCTAGAAGAGTTGTCCTTCACTGTAACTTAACTTTACTTGTAAAGTAACCCTACTTGTAAATTAACAAGTCAAATGATATGTTATTCCAAAAACTTATAATAAAATATTCCCCAAAAATATTTTCTCATCCTTGTGAATAAATTTTTTCCTCTACATCTTAAGAACTTTCTTTTAATTTAAAATTTTTTACTTTATATCCTGTATAGCTTGCATTTACTCCACTCGCCATATACTTATTGACAGGAAAAATTACAACTGTCAGATGCTGTTACACTGTTAATCTCTATTTTTTTTTTAAATGGTAAAAGGTTGTCTTTTCAAAATTGGCAATGGCAATACAAATTCTAAAGATGCAATAGTCACTTGTATTTTATGATTATTCTAGTAGCTTCAATTATCGTCTGCTTTGTAGCATAAATAATTATAAAATAAATTAGTTGTTAGTTTTTCTTGCTTCTAGCAGCGTGTTCCTAATAAGTTGCTACAACTACGTGAAAGATTTATCTTGCATTTATATATTTCATTTACTCCACTCGCCTTCAAATTACTGGACCAAACAAATTACAGCTACGTGAAAGATTTGTAATATTGAGGTTTATATAAATGTTGAATTTTAACAACAAAAATCAGCATTTATCCATAAATTTACCAGTACTTTGAATAATAAAATTAAAAAAAAAAAAAAAAAAAACATAAATTTCATTCTTGTGAACAAAATAAACACATATTTTCCCAAATACTCAAGACATCTATCAAAGCAATCAACATAAACAATCTATAAATACATTTTTAAAGTATTTTAAGACATCATAAGCTGAAACTTCACATAGAAATTAATGGAAATTCACTGACACAAACCAATAAATAGCAAAAGAAAACATTTTCTAAGTATCTGCAAAGGCTAATGAAAGCGCAGTCTCAAAAAGCTTTTGGGAAAACGCAACGACATAACAAATACGTAAATTCTTAGGGTGTCCACGGTGAAAACTGGTTTTTAATCTTCGTGTTCAGCAAACTGAATAAGTACCTTGCTGTGTTGAAGTTAGAAATAAAGTTTCTGTAAATATATACATATGTTTTTTTAAATACCAACTCTATTACAGCACCGTCCCTTGTGAGACTTAAATAGACAACCTTCGGCTCCGGAGGCCAACGCTTTATCCATTAGGCGACAAGAGGCTGGGGAAAAAAAAAAAAAAAAAAAACCTTAAATTGGTACAGATTTTAAATAAAATTCAAAATCCAGGATTTCGGAATGTATCCTTATTTTCTTGCAATAATCTCTTGTTATCAACCATATCTAATTTATATGTTATATTGTTATCAACCATATCTAATTTATGGTTGATAATTTTGGCTAATTACCCTTAATAAATTTCAGAATTTTCTTTTAAATAATGTATTTCATTACCGTATTAATTTATACATTTTTAATTATCACCTGAGTTTTTTTACTAAGATTATTCCATTAATTTTACATTTACTCAAGAAGAATTTTAAAAGAACATTCATTTAAAGACTGTGGTAAAAACTTGGGACATTTGAAACTAACATAACAAGTGGCAAAAAAGGTCGAAGTTCAGTCTCCAGCCAACCGGAAAATACCGCCTCTGAACTCGCTTCACCGCGTTGGTGTGAACTGTTCTTTACATGTTTGTCAGACTAATAGAAGCTGAAGGACATTGTTTTTTAAGTTTCTATAGAAGCAGAACCCTACAAACAATGCTCGTTACTTCTTGCAGTAACAGCTGAATAGTTACAACCGTGGGTCAGAGGATCAATAAGAAATAGTGTTTGTGAATTTGCTGTTTGCTCTTGTGCCTCGTCATCGTTAACAGTGCAAGAGAATACCAAGTGTAGTTTTTCGTAACATGCGCGTATTACAAGCGTTTTGAAGTTCTGCAAATGAAACACTGTTATAATTATTCTCTTTTATGCTTGATATATATAAATTTGTTTAGATATAACAGAAATACTCTTAATATGTGCTGCATTATTTTAAAATTTATTCTTATTATAGTGACCGTATGTTTTTCCACAAAAATTTGTTAAGAATTCCATTTCACCAGTGGCAGAGTGAATCACCGAATACTGGTAATTCTATTTTATTTGGGTTCGATCCCAATCGAACGGGCTGACTCCATGGTTGGTTTTCGTGGTTTCCCTCATGTTTAACGATTCTATGTTCTCCATCCGTCAGAAAGTTCTCCACGAAGGCATTCCTCCTCTTAGGCACGCAGCGATCATATTGATATCGCACGAAGAATTTCTACAACTCAACTCTCCTACCAGAAAGACAGTCAGTTTCTCCGCTGCGGTGTTACAGTACACTGTTCTCTTACATTCTTCCTTTTGCAAATAATGTTTAGTTTAACTAAGTGTTAGACAGTAAATTACACAGTCATATGTTTATCTAGGTCTACGTGATGTTCTATGTGATGTGTATCTACTTCACTAATCCGCATAATGGTGGCCCAGAGAACTATATCACACATACTCTCATGCGTCAAGGGATCTAACTAAGAACACTCACGCATTGGAGCCGCAGCCACAACCACAGCCTGTCAAAGCACTGGATTCACAACCACGCACACAACTCAGGCTCATTTTCCGACGACCTCATAATAAAAAAACATTTCGCACTGAAAAGTAGTCCGAATATCAGAATCTACTGCACAAGAGCATTTTTGCGATAGCGGTACGGTATTCCACTGTGTCGTAACAGACTCAGGATCGAATTCCAAGGTCAGTTACCCTCTTCAAGTGTATACTAACTAATATTTGTACCCAATCCGTGAATTAAATTGCATTTTGGAGACTGATACAAA